GAGAGAAAAGAGAGGGGCAATACCAGCTGTTGATAAGACAAGGAAAATTCAGGTGGGAATAAGCAGTCTGCATAACTAAAGGTAGGTAATGCCAGAAGATAGCTAAAGATAAAGCTGAATGTGAAAAGGGGGAAGGAGCATTATAAATTGGGGCATAAAAATTAATTTGAATCCCAGATTTTTGTTGAAAATATAGGCTTGATAAATTTCTCCCCCAAATTCTAACTAAATTATTCTGTTTTAGTCAGGCAGGAAAAAGGGCATAAATACCAGAGGGAGTGCAGAGAATTCCCAAAACAAAAGAGAAAAATTTTTTCAGTTATCATATGTTATGCATACAATTTCCTGGGAACTCAGAAATATCAATAAAAATTAAAATAGAGAAAAAATATACCTAATCCAATTTTTTATTTATTTTTAAAAGACAAAAGCTTCTTTAAGCAATTAATTAACATGCATCACTGATGCCACCAAGTATCATCAAACCATATAATAGAAAATTGGAAGCTTAGAGTAATATAATCACTGATACTCCTGTGGGCTGGTAAAGTGTCTGCTCTGCTCAAATGACAGGGCACTGGGTCTTCAGTGTGTCCAAGGGATATTCCCATTGCAATCTGTCAGCAGATTGGCAAATATTCTTACTGACAGGAACACACAGCCCAGGAATACGGTCTTACCCTCATTCATGGCTCCAAGCACCTCAGTGCAGTGTTGCTCTCCTGGTTCCCTCCAATGGCCCCAAATACCAATTAAGCAGCTTCACCATCTCAGTATCTAAATTTGGACATAGGTATCAAGTTTGAATGCCTGATGAGACTAACTAAATACTGTGCAGAAGTGTGAAGTAATCGGTCCTAAAATGGAAGAAAAAAAAGGAAATCCCCAGGGGCGCCTGGGTGGCTCAGTCGTTAAGCGCCTGCCTTCGGCTCAGGTCATGATTCCAGGGTCCTGGGATCGAGCCCCGCATTGGGCTCCCTGCTCGGCGGAAAGCCTGCTTCTCCCTCTCCCACTCTCCCTGCTTGTGTTCCTCTCTAGCTGTCTCTCTCTCTGTCAAATAAATAAAATCTTAAAAAAAAAAAAAAAAAAGGAAATCCCCAGAAGTGGATCTGACATGGTTCCTGTCCCTATTGAAATTTCATAAGATCACAGCTGAGAGAACATTCTACCATAAATTGAAAGGCTCTGCATTAACAGCAGGAAACAAAAACCCATTTCACAACTCATCCCCCACTAATTCAGAATATCCACCACAAATTCTCATATCGTCACGTTGTCATATAGCACCACCTAGTGTCCACAGGCAGGTGCACGTTAATGCTGACGGAGCCCAAAGGTGGCATTTTTCTGTAGCCACCTTCCAAGGGCTTCCTGTTAGACTTGGCTGTTCACCACATCAGGATTCCTAGTGTGATTCCTCATTCTACTTCAGGGCATACCAATGGAAGTGTAATAATGAATTTATTTTACTGTAGTTAAAACTCCTATTTTGTGGATTGTCCTCAAGTACTTTGAAACTGTAAACTATTCCCAGGATGACTCTCTCTCTCTCTCTCTCTCTCTCTCTCTCTCTGAGAGGCAGGGATGGGCAGGGGGAGAAGAATCCCAAGCAGCCTCCATGGCCAGCATGGAGTCCCATGCAGGACTTGATCTCACAACCCTGAGATGATGACCTGAGCTAAAATCGTCAGAAGCTCAACCGACTGAGCCACCCAGGCGTCCCAGGATGACTCTTTCTTGACACTGAGCATATATCTGACTCCCCACCATTCCTTCTCACTATTCTCTATTATTGGGGTGTAGACTCTATAATGGATGTCTATAGAGTGCATACATTTTGATAGCATTATTTGCTGCATGAGATATAACTGAAAAGAGAGGGTTGTATCAGAAATGCATCCAAAGTGTTCATAATACCAACATTTGAGTGGCTTTAGAATTGTTTCATTTTGTAGATTCACCCTTTCCCTCCTTCTACTCCTACAACCACACAGTGGGAAAGAGAAAGAGATGTTAATGAATAATCAAAACCCAACAGAATAACAGAATATAACAAAAGTAAAATAATTCCAAGGATTAATTTACTTCAGAGACTCCATTTCCTTCCAACCAATCTTTAGAGTATAAGCCCAAGCATGCCATTTCTAGACAGGAAGTGTGACAAATTTTTGAAGATACAAGCTATTAGATGGCAATAAATTCTCTCAAAGCATTTTAGACCTACATTACTGTCTCTGAGTCAGACTTTCTCTGTACTAGGCAAAATAGAAGATGTGAGCAATTAGATGGGTGTAGACACATGAATACAGGACAGCTTTCTTAGTTTGCCTTGGAGTTAGATGTGCCAGATTGCCATGTAAAATTTAGGGCATACTTACACTGAAAAATTACTCTTTATCTGAAACTCAAATTCAACTGAGTGCCCTGTATTTAATCAGGCAACTCTACTTGGAATGAACAAAAGACCTTGTTGGAGAAAATAACTAGGCTCCTAGCAGAACCGGAGTCATTTTTATGAAAATGGTTGCTTTGGTGGGGTTCCAGAGATCAGTATCAAAGCAAAGGCCCAACATTGTAAGCCTTCAAATAATACTCTGTATTTAACGCTTAAAAATTTATGAAACATTTTGCATTTATTATATTATCTGGATTCTCCTAATGACAATCCTTATGTGGTTATTTTTATGCCTGTTCCAAGGCTTACAGATATTAAGGAATTGTTTTGGTGATCCACATGAAACTGTACAAAAAAGCCAGAACTTGAATCCAAATCTCCCAGTATGGTGCAATGTCTACAAATTAGGAAAATGTTCGTGTGGACACTACACAAAACTTTCCATTGTGACACAAGGCCAGGAAAATGAAGATATTCTCAGAGTTACTGAGCTGTCTTACATACTTTGATTTTTAAAGCACAGAACATTCACTTATATCCCCAATTACAGTGAGCCATCATTCTCCTGATGTAGGTTTATCCACACATATCCAACCACTACACTTTGTAAGCCATTTATATGTCCCAGAGACTCTTGATAAAATCCAAATTTGTTTAACTCAGAGTTCACTTTCCCTAGATCTTTACATTTGAAATTTAGAGAATGTTCTTGTAATAATCCCACTGGCTGTTAAGGATCAGGTTTGTTTTTAAATTGTAGAGTAGTGACAGCTGGTGTTCACAGTGCGTATTACACTACTCCCTAGCACAGTTTTTTATCTTTTACTTATGGTCCTCAAATTCTAGTTCTCATAAAAATTCCCTGAAGAATTTCTTTAAATGCAGCCTCCTAAACCCCTCATAGATTCTGATTATATACATCTGGGATAATGTACATGATACAAGCCCCAATGCTACCATCCCTTTCCTCCTCCTGGTCAATCTCATGTAAGAGAACATTATTGTATCACCCCCACAAGCACTGTGCACATATATGGAAACCAAAGCTATAAGTATAAAGTTCAGAGGAGTTCATCGATGTTGATAATGCTGATAATGACGACAAAGATGATCTCAGCTAACATTTATTGCACACTAAGTGCTGTGCACTGTGCTAAATCCTTTACATGGATTATCTTATATAATCTTCTAAATATATCTATAAAGTAGACAATATCAAAGGCCCCTGGGTGGCTCAGTCAGTTAAGCATCCAACTCTTGATTTCAGCTCAGGTCGTGATCTCAGGGTCCTGAGATTGAGCCCCGTGTCTCCAGGCTCAGCAGAGTCTGCTTGTCCCTCTCCCTCTGCTCCTCCCCCAGCTCATGTGCTTGCTCTTTCTCTCTCTCTCTCCCTCAAGTAAATAAAGTCTTTTAAAAAAGTAGATAATATCATGGTCACCATTGTAATAACAGGGAGGCAGAGAGATGAGCAGATAGATAATTGTTATATCTAATATCACAATTAAAGTCCTGTGATTGTATGTATCACATTCAAACTAAAAACCAAAATATTAAATAGAAGGCCTCTCTTCTAGTATGTCCTAGTGGTACACATCATTCACTCTCTACAATATTCATGTGTTGCCACCTAGCAATAGATGGCTAGAAGATACAAGATGTTTCCAGGAAAAGCTTGAGTTTTCTAGAAATGGCTAAAATATATGTCTATCTTAATGTGTCAAATACTAAAGAGATAGTGCATCACTGGTGTGGGCAACTTAAAAAGATGTGTTCTTAATAGTTGAGTTCTGTGTCTGAGTCAAATAATAAAAACCAAGTGTTCACAGATTTTTACTTTTATCCACATCCTTTTTAAAATTTCTATTATTATCATTTTACATGTTGTTTCTTTGCAACCAGGTAATAGTTCCATGTAGCATTTTTTAAAATAACATAAAATATTGTCTTCAAACTTCTAATGTGCTTTATTTTTTTTTTTTTAAAGATTTTATTTATTTCACAGAGAGAGACAGCAGGAGAGGGAACACAAGCAGGGGGAGAGGGAGAAGCAGGCTTCCCATGGAGCAGGGAGCCCGATGTGGGGCTCGATCCCAGGACCCTGGGATCATGACCTGAGCCGAAGAGCATCGCTTAATGACTGAGCCACCCAGGTGCCCCTCTAATGTGCTTTAGATATGCTTAGCTGAGCAGAAAATAGTCCATTTTGTCTTTTGGTTTTATAATCCTACTGTCTTTACAGAAAGAACTAGCTGCAATACAACAGAATTGCCAAGTTGAGCACTTAGTGATTACTATATATTCCTTAGTTTGCATAAGTATACATCTTTTGTTATTGAGAATTAGTGTTTCTAGAATAAATGGGAAGCCATAGGTTTACCAAAAAACATCAATGCAGGCAGCTGTAAGAGGGAAATGAGAAAGAAAACCCCCAAGGATTACATATTGGTCTCTGAATAACCTCATAATCTGGTGAATGGATTAATTTTTACAGTTCTTTGAAGGTCCTCCTCTATCTCTGAAGAATAAGAACAATCCAAGACAGAGTGAAAGGGAGAAGGCAAATAGATAAGTGGAAATTGAAATAAGTTGAGAGACAGCTACTCACCTCTTTGTCTTCTGAGTTTTATTGTTGTGGAAGGCATAGAGATTTCAGAGCCAGACAAATCCAAGGTTTAGCCTCACATTCACCACTACATGTAGTTGTACGGCATCAAGCAGTTTGCTTAGCCTGAGTCTCAGTTTCTCCACTTATGCAGTATAGACACTACTACTCTCCCAGCCCAGTTGTCAGACAGATAGATGTTATGGAGGTATGGAGCCTGGAGACGGAACAACAAAAAGCAGCTGTTGTTAATGGTAGCTTGTTATTAGTGATCCATACTTCATCTATTCAACACACATTTATTGATCACCTCTCTGTGGCAGGAATACAGTAAAGTCCCAGGAATACAGTGAAAAACATATAAAGTCTGTCCACAAGAAGTTTCTGTTTCATCCTCTGAATACACAGTTATCAAAATTCCACCCCCCCAACCCCACTCCACAGAAATTCCTCTGGCAAAGTCACTGTTGCTGGATTTATCAAATAAGATGAACCTCAATAAGATCTTTTTGTAGCATCTAATAATATGGGGCAATAATAGCAATAATTCTTGATGTCTAGAATACTCTCCTGATTTCCTTCTACTTTCTGACTGAAACTTGCCAGTCTCTGTTGCTAGATTTTCTTCTGTTACCCCTTTAATTAATATTTCCTAGTATTCTGACTTTGCCCTTTTTCTTTTATACTCTACACTAGTAGTTCTTGAACTTTCAGTCATGAACTCCTTTAAGAATCTGAAGAAGCTAGGCACTCTCTATGGAAAAAAAATGAATCTACTTACAAATAAATTAAAATTTGCATACATTTTCAGCAGTGTCACAGACCTTTCTCCCTTCCCATAAAGCCCGTTGTTGAACTTCAGGTTAAGGAGTTCCCATGGCTTGAATTATTACCCATATGTAAAGGACCCATTATTACCCAAATGTAAAGGACCCTCAAATCTCTGTCTCCTACATAAACCACTTTCCTGAGCAATAGGTCTACTTTCAAATGACTTACTGGCAACTCCACATGAATGCCCTTCTGGCATCTTAAAACCCAAGATATCCCAAACCAAACTCTTCATCTTTCTCCAAACACCTGTTCTCCTGGAGGACAATACGTGTGGGAAAGAGAACACTTTTTGAACCTAACAGACCTAGATTTAAGTACAGCCCTGGAAGCTTCAGAAATATACTTAACCTCTTTCTGCTTTCATTTCTTCTTCATATTTAACATGAGGATAATAGTACCTCTATTTTTTATATTGTTATGAGAATTAAAACAAATAATGTGAAAATCCCTATCCAAGTGCCACCACATAGTCTGCATTCCACAAATATTAATATTACTGAATTCCCAATAAAGAAAAAGCAACTCTATTCACCAAATATCCTAAGTCAAAAATTTAGGAGTCATCTTCACACACCCTTCCAACCCATCCTCTAAACGTCAGCCAGAGGACCTTCCCAAGATGCCCATCTGATAATGCCATGACTCTGCTTCGATCTTCCCAGTTGCTTCTCATTGCTTCCAGGATTACATCTATCTTAGTACTACACCGAAGGCTGACTATGATCTGGCCCCTGTCCATGCCGAACTCATTCCCTTGACTACTTGCAGATCTCCCCAAATGTGCCCAGTGTTTCAGATTCCACAGCTCTGTTCCCACTGCTCCCTTTGCCTGAAGTGTCCTCACTCCTCCACATCTTTTCTTGGCATTCAGGCAAACACCCATTCATCTTTCAAAACACAGTACAAGCATCACCTCTGCTATGAAGTTACTCCTGACAGCCTCCTACCAAACTGATCACGGACTCCCTTCATCTCCCACCTGTACCTGACAGATGATTTCTATCATGGCAAAGATGAGTAGCATATGCGTCCTGATCTCAAAAAGCTTACAATCATGATTCAACCAGAAATCCTCTTATATAACCTGGACAAGTAAACCAAAGAGAAATTACAAGGCATGAAAAAACGAGTCGTAAGTAACTTCAACGCTCAGCTCAGTGGTCCTTTCTTAGAAGCCTTTCTGTGACTCCCAAGCTCCGAGGAGTGTGTGTACATGTGTATGCTATGTGTTAGCTATATATAAACCCATTTAATCCTTACAGTGTGTGGAGCAAGCACTATTATTATTCCCCTTTTACAGGTGAGGAAATGAAAACAGAGAGACCAGCTTGCCTAACATTACCTACCCAGAAATATTGGTATGAATAAAGTATGGACTTCAGTTAATTAAAAAACAATTGATAAATGAAAATGATATATTGTTTATAAATGAATTTATTGAGCCTATTAAGGGCCTGGGACACAAATAGAAAAACCTAAGTGCCCTATGCTCGAAAACAGTGATTCGTGAAAAAACTGCAATGATATAAATAAAAAACTTAAGATTGTATCTCTTGGCGGCAGTAAGAAAGCCTTAGGGTGGAGGAATCTATCAAATGGATCAATGAGTTAATGAGAGAAATGAAACGAGCCCTCAACCCAGATCAGGAACACTCCTCCTTTCACGTCACCCCACCTCACCTTTTCTCCTCCTACGTGTTTGCCCGCGACTATCCAATGGACGGTAGGCTCTACGGGCCCATTGTGCGCATGCGCATCATCAATTCGACGATCCTTCGCATCGATGCTTTCAGAAGCAACTTCTTCAGCCTGGTCACTGCCGGCTTCGAAGCTACCCCTGAGGCCGTCGCCGCCGCCATTTTGACGGCGGAAAGAGTGAGCGTCTGGGACAGCTGGAGGCGGCGGCGGGACTGGTATGGATGGTTTCCGCCCGCGTAGCCCCTCCAAATTCGCCTGTCTTCTTGGTGCCACAGCACTCGGTATTGCCCGTATTCCGACAGGGTCCCTGTCGCACTCCCTAGTCCTGTCTGTCTGTAGGCTGTTTTTCGCTTCCTCACCGTCAGCTCCGTTCGAACCCCTGTTTGGAGCTGTTGTCAAGCCCCCCTGGCCTGTGTTAAAATACCTGCTTCGACCTTCGGGACTCTGTCTCGGCCACCGGCTCCTCGTTCCCCGCCCTCATCTGGTCCGAGTTGCTTTCGGGGGCGGGGGCTGGGGGCATAAACCGGGAGGGCTGGGTACTGCACGGCCTCCTCTGGGGAGGGATCTGTGCCTTGGAGGGGCTGGGGGCCAATTCTGGCCGCCTTGGGTTATGGGGAGAGCTTGGACTTCGATCGTGGTGGAGCGACACATAGTAGGAGATAGTGGACGTTACCCGAGTTGTGTGTTGTTAGAGCTTAATAGGTCACTCGCCTGTTTTGTTTTGTCCGTTCTCAGGAATAACTTCACGAAAGGAAAGATACTTTGCATCTGCCCTCCCCGCTGGAAATGGCCACTGTGAGTAAATTAGTCTCTTAAGCAGAATAGTGGTTTGGGAACTTGGAGGGATGGGTTTAATTATGGTGGCATGTTTCTTGTGCTTAGAGGTAGTGTATGAAAAATGTCAAGGGAAGCAAGGGGTGTGAAATTAGTTGGCATGCTTTGAAGGTGGTTTGAACACAAAGGTTCTCTGCGACACTCGTGTACTTGTTTCTACAAATTCATTTTTGGAAATAAATTCAATGCCAGCATCCTTTCAATATTTTTAAAAGACATTTCATTAATATTTAGAATCTACTTTTAAGCTACTTTTTATTTCTTTGGTTAGCTAAACTGACGGTTTTGTAACAGTTTCAGTCTAGCAAGTATCCTTCCAAATCCTACAACATGAGAGCAAGAGATATGATTCACATAGACCAGAAATATTGACGGTAAGTCTCCAGTTTAGACTTACCCTACCATAAGGACTTCATATAGTAGGGGACAGTAGACATACATGAAACAGCTACAATTAAAGTGTAAAGTAGTTTTTCTTAAAAGCTACACAAAGGTACGTGCAGATTCAAAGCTTTGTGAAGAGGAGAAATAAGGGGTTTGGGATCACTTCAGAGAAGCATTTAATCTGAGGTTTGAAAGATGGTGGGATTTAGATAATCGGACATTTGAATGGAAAAACAGACGTATTCAGAGACACCTTCCCTTTCAAAAATCAAGAAGTCATTTCTGCCTTCTGCAATGTCAGATATGTGAAAGAGATTAGAGGGAAATAAGGTTGGATTGTGGAGTTGAAATCGAGTAATAGCCTTGAATGTCACACTCAGTATATAGATTTGATTCTTCAAGTTGTGGTCGTTTAATCAGAGCTGTGTTAGGAGGGTTAATATGGCAACAGTTAGGATAATATTCCTGTAACTGAACATGACATGTTAAGAGTCTATTTTTTTTTTTTAAAGATTTTATTTATTTGAGAGAGAGAGAATGAGAGACAGAGAGCATGAGAGGGAGGAGGGTCAGAGGGAGAAGCAGACTCCCCGCCGAGCAGGGAGCCCGATGCGGGACTTGATCCCGGGACTCCAGGATCACGACCTGAGCCGAAGGCAGTCGCTTAACCGACTGAGCCACCCAAGTGCCCTAAAGATTTTATTTATTCATTTATTTGAGAGAGAGAGAGAGAGAGCACATGAGGAGGGGGGGTCAGAGGGAGAAGCAGACCCCCTGCCGAGCAGGGAGCCCGATGCGGGACTCGATCCCGGGACTCCAGGATCATGACCAGATCCAAAGGCAGTCGCTTAACCAACTGAGCCACCCAGGCGCCCCAAGAGTCTGTCTATTGACGTGACTTTAGGGACAAGTCATAAAAGTAGACCACTAGTCTTGGACCCATCTTAACATGAATTTTTACTTAGCCAGAACCACAGAAAGGGAATGTTGTAAAAGAAGCATGGGGTACTCTTAAAGTAGAATAGAATTCTAATGTTTAACCTGGCTTTATTTTGATTTAAATGAATTAGCTCAGCAGGGTGAATATTTTGAAAGATGCTTTTGTAAATCCTTTGTTAGAAGTTCATATGAAATAAATTTTAATATTAAAATATACTTTAAAAATTTGTGTTTATATACATTGTAAATACTGAATGGATGTCAGTTATGAAATATGCAACTATGTGTGTCTTCAACTATTTAGCATACATAGCAAGAGTCATAAATGTCTGTGCTTCAGAAGCTGGACAGTAAATTAAGATGCCTTGGTGGGAACTTTGACAAACTGAAATTTTCATTTCTGGTATAACAGGAGCAGCCTTTCCTTAGCTACGGTGACTAATTGCTAACTAATGCCATTTGCGAATATGAATCCAGGGCTGCCAGCTCCTTTGAGTTTTCAAGAACAGCCGAAAATCTGGACTTTTTTTGTGAAATCTATAATTTCTCAATGTTTATATCCAACTCAGATTTTTTTAATAACAGTGTGGACCACACAAAAATGTCTGTAGATGGATATGGATGAATTTCCTAGTAACGAGTTTTCAATCTTTGGTATAGACCCTATTTTCTGCTCACATGACCAAAAGCAGGACTTTAGTCTTAAAACAGTGCCTAAAAGACAGTTTCTCTTTTTATACTAATAAGGATTTTGAAATTTTATATATATATATATATATTTTTTTTTTTTTTATTCATGAGAGACAGAGCGAGAGAGAAAGGCAGAGGGAGAAACAGGCTCCCGAGGAGCAGGGAGCCCGATGCGGGACTCGATCCCAGGACCCTGAGATCATGACCTGAGCCGAAGGCAGACGCCCAACCATCTGAGCCACCCAGGCGCCCTTGAAATTATATTTTAATAAACTGTCATCTTTCCAAGTCTAGAATCCTAGGTTTGAAGTAGTCAAATACAAAATCATACTTATCCTCGTACTAAAATAAACTGGCTATTCTAATTTTTGAGTTATTTATTGGCTGTCATATTTAGTTATATTTACCAGCTGACCCAATGTCCTAAAATCTGCCAAGTAATGAATTTGAGGATCCTATATGTTAAAAAGGAAACTTGAAACACATTAACACTGTCGTCAGCTATTCCTTTTAGTGGACAAATTAGATACTGGATTATTTTGCCATTAAAATGAAATATAAAGAAATAAAATAACATGAAATTCAGTGATTAGATTTTCTTAGATTGGCAACAAAACTCATATTTTATTATAACTTTTGTTAAAAGCTTTACCATCAAGGAAAAAAATCTAAAGTAGTATCTAGTGGCCTTGGCACTCACAGGTTAAAATAATCCTTAATAATATTAGGAAGTTGCTAAAATAATTTGGATAATATTTCTTTTCCTTTTTTGCTATCGAAGCAATTTATTATCACAAATAATATTTTGATAATCATACTTTAATTTTAATGGTATATGGAAGTATGTTGTGGAAATTAGTAAAACAGTGCATGTAAAGCACTTAGCACAGAACCTAGCCCACAGTAACTAACATCTGTTGATTATTTGCTATTTAATATTTATTGCCCCTTTCAGATAATCTCTTACTGAGCCTCTTACTATTTTGAGGCCTTGCCCAAAATCTTTTTGGAGTTTAAAATTTTATATTGCCTTTAGATCCTGAGCCATATTCTGTTAAATGTAAATGTCTTCATTTGTAAAGGTAAATTTAAATTACAGAAACACCCAAAAGTCTGAGTTAGTCTAGTAGGTTAAAATCTAATAATTATCACATTTATCTCTTGGGGCAGGTTGGGTCCTGACCCAAGGAAGGATACTTAAATTTTCAGGTGGCCAGAGTACTCTGGAGACAGGTCTTGTACTTAGGAGATACATAAAGAAGGTTCTGTTTATCTAGGTCTTGAAGACAGAGTTGAAATTTGCTAGACCTAGAAGGAGAGGGAAAAGGGCATTTTAGCAGAAGAAATCTTATGGCAGTATAAAAGAAGGCAGAGAAATATGGGAAATGTTGCAGATATTTTTATGTGACTAAAGAATTGAAAAGGAAAAGGTGGGTAAAGTTAGTAAGAAATTATGCCAGAGAGGTAGAAAAACAAGTTAGGATGTTCTCTTGTACTTACGATGAAAAAAAGTCAGAACACATGTGTTGGAAATCAGACTACTTTGTGAAAGGGAAAAAGGAATGATTCTAAAGTATCAAATGGCTAGACTATTTCAACATCCTGGTAGTTTTCATACCACTCCAGTCCATCCTGCCCTAAGTGGTACATTCCTAAAAACATTCTGCTCCTCTATTCTTCCCTGCCTCCAGATTAAAATTCTGATTATTGTCTTGATGTAACAAGCCTTTTACTATGTCAAATATAAAGCCTTTTATGATTTCCCACAACTTAACTTTCAAGCCTGTTTTTTACTGCACTCCCTTAAATATCTAACCTCACTGAATTTATCACCCTTTTGAATATACCTTTTATGATTATACATCTGTTCCTGAAAGTCACTCATTGAAATGCCCCTTTGTTCTGCAAATTTCTTGTTTCTTCAAAACCTAGTTTATTCTTGGGGCGCCTGGGTGGCTCAGTCGTTGGGCGTCTGACTTCGGCTCAGGTCATGATCCCGGAGTCCTGGGATCGAGCCCCGCATCGGGCTCCCTGCTCCGCGGGAGGCCTGCTTCTCCCTCTCCCACTCCCCCTGCGTGTGTTCCCTCTCTCGCTGTCCCTCTCTCTCTCGTCAAATAAATAAATAAAATCTTTTTAAAAAAAGCGGGGGGCGCCTGGGTGGCTCAGTCATTAAGCGTCTGCCTTCAGCTCAGGTCATGATCCCAGGGTCCTGGGATCGAGCCCCGCATCGGGCTCCCTGCTCGGCGGGAAGCCTGCTTCTCCCTCTC